CGATCAGTTTTTTGCCAGCAAAGACCAAAAATTTTATGAGCGTGGAATTATGCTACTACCAGAAAGATGGCAAAAGGTGTTGGACCAGAACGGTCAATATATAATTTAATAAAGTATTTGTTTATTATACGAAAACTGCCTTTCATTTCCACAAAAAAAAACGAAATGACTTTCCGAACAACCCTATAGTTTTAGGTAAACGCGAAGTTTAGATCAGGATAGGAAAGAGTGGAGGTACGTGTCCAACCAGTCTTAGGACTGACGACCTTATGATGATGATGAGTGGTTATGAAGAACTATAATATGACACAAATGCACCTACATTTATTAATTAGATTTAATTTTTTTTTTGTACATACAAAGACAAAAATGAATGATTTTTTTTTGAATGTGTGAAGGAGTGTGTATCAATTACATAGTCGCGACGCAAAGAACACGGCGCTCTACTAACGACACCGCTATTGATATTTTTTTTAATAAATACCTGCAATTCCTTTTCTTTGTAAAGAAGCTGACGCCATTTCAGGCGTCACGGACTTTCAACTGGAAAAATAACTTTTTTCTTTCCTTTCAATAATTTTTTACTTCTCTTCACAACTGGTAACTGACGTAAGAAATAGCCAATCTGTAAATAAGTATCTTTGTCAGATTAACAACTTTATCACTTGTTATCGTGCATCATACAGACTTATGTATAATTATGGTTGGTGTTATATTGTAGTTGGTATTATATGTTGGGAAAACCGTGAATTTCATAAGAAGTGTGACAAAAAAATAATGATATTTGTTTTATTCATATTCGTGAATTTAATTATTGTTTTATTACACGATGTGCAGCAAATAATAATCACTATTTGAGAATGCTTAAACTTAATTGAATTTAGATTAGACAGAGGATTTGCGGTTTATGGTTTCAATAAGAAAAAAAAAGATTTTTATTTTGTACATATATTGGAAATAGAGTTAAGTACGATTAAGAATTGAGTTTTACCACAAACAAAAAGGAGACAGGAGACGAAAAATTAGAAGAATTGCCTGTTTTTAGGTATGTAGGAAGTCAGATAAGTCAGGACGAAAACAAAACAATAAAAAGAAGTCACTTCTATGCTCGCGAAATTCGAAAAAGATTGTCGTTTGGAGTGCGGCGCTATACGGGTGCGAAACATGGACGGTGGGCGCTGCGGAAAAGAAAAAGTTAGAAGCGTTCGAAATGTGGAGTTACAGACGAATGATAAGGATACTGTAGATAGAAAAGGTTATAAATTAGGAGGTATTAGAAAGAATAAGATAACAGAGGACTCTATGAGAGTCAATAAGAAATAGACGAGATAGGTTAGTAGGGCTAGTCAGACACATATTAGAGGCAGAAACGGGAGTTAGGAGGAGTAGAGATAGAGCTAGATTAGATTACTGTTCACAAATAGTTAAGGATGTGGGATGTTTTAATTTTAGGAAATGCGAAGATTAGCTGAGGATAGGAAAGAGTGGGGGTGCGTGTCCAACCAGTCTTAGGACTGACGATGATTAAAATGAATTAAAAAAATGTCATTCCTGTAACTCTATACCGGGAGGGGACAATCTTCGATACTTTATAGACTATATTCGTCAGCTGAGTTTTGAGTAGAAAGCAGTCTAACAGAAATTTAATGTTTTCTGATTTTTTCTGTCACAGTAGTTCGGAAGAAAAGTCCTTAAATAAATTGATTTCAATTGTCTTTTGCGACAATTATATTATATCTAAATATTTTATGTGGGACTGTATTTTAACCAGGGTGTGAATTTAATAGCAATATCCAAAATGTAAAGAACCTTTTTGGTGTTATTTTTACATCGTGTAAGATGGTTAACAACTTTTCAGGTTCAGTAAGGGTTTTTTATATTTTTTTGCAACTATTTGTAAATGATAATGAAAGAAATTAAAGCTTCAGCTCGATTAATTTAAAAAAATCAAAAAAGATTATTATGGATAGTACATTTTTTGTTGAATTACAACTGCGCAGATAAATTCCATGACGTTTATTGCCCTTTAACATTGTAACTAATTGTAAATAAAATTCGGGCCGTTCTCTTTATTTGTGTGGATGTTAGCCATTTCACAAAATAAGCTTATATATGTAAGTTTTATTACTTCAGCCGTCACTTTAGATGCCTCAGAGTTTAGGTTGGTAGGACACCTTCTCAGATATGAAGGGCTGGTTAGTAGAGATGTGCAAAATGATTTTTTAAAAGTATTCAAATACAAAATGAAAATACTTTTTTTGATTTGTTATTTCAAATATAAGAAAGAAAATAGATTTCCCTTTTGTATTTTAAATGTTAAATGCAAAATAAGTATTTTTAAAATACTTTTGTGTAGTACCGTGTATTTAATTTTCTACTAGACCTAGGTACTAAATTACTGTTCGCAAATAGTTTTCAAAAAATGCGAATAGTGGCTCAAGACAGGAAGAAGGGTTTTCGACCAGTCTTGGGGCTAAAGACCTTATGATGCTAATGACGATGATATTGACAACGAATAATGAGGTACCATATACGTGTCTATAACTCCAGTTTTTATTTTGCAAAACTTTTATTACCAATATTTTAGTATCATAACATGTAATTACTAACCATAACGATTCAATTAACATTTATAATTTTGTGGGAACTTTATTCTCCGTGATGAGAGATTAATTTACTAGAAACTATTACTTTTAAAAGAAACACAAAGAAGAACCGCCATTTTCGCGATAATTACAATATTTAAGTAGTTCTTATCAGAATTGAAATGCATCCAATGACTGTAATTTGTAATTTATTATACATTTATGTTTATGTTGATGAAAAATTTATATGATAATAATTTATCTGTACTATAAAAGCAGGTATTTCCACAGAAGAAAAAACCAATGAGTCATAAAATTCTTTAGAAATACTGGTTTTACACACTACTTAGAAAAGCTTTTTCAAGTAAATTTTTCCCCTGTATGTACGTATCGAGAAGGAAAGCATATAACGTAACCTATTTTTAAGTTGGGTAAATTATTCGATTAATCGAAATTGAATCGATTAATCGATTTTATTTTCATTTTAAAAATCATCGGTTAATTAAATAATAATCGATTAGTCGCACACAATTAATCCAGATTGGTCGAAAAAGTCAAAAATCAATTCTTACAATTAGTCCAAAAGTGAACCTCATCCAGCAAGAGTATTATAATGTATCTTCAGATGATTATTTCCCTAATAAACAATTTCTGTGATCGATTATTCGGATTAAATTAAATAATCAATTATTTTAATTGGTCTGTTATTCCTGTTAATCTAAATGAGAAATTATTTGGATCAATCCATTATTCCGATTAATGAAAGTAATCGATTATTTATTATCTTACGATCGATAATCGATTGTTAAATTATTAATTGTCTAACCCTGACTACTATGTATGTATTATGTCTGGCATATAATGATTTTTATGAACACAATTTTTTGTTTGTGTCTAACTCAAAACTACTAAACAGTTTTTCGGACGGTTTTCACTGTTCTAAAAGAACAAATCGAAAGGAATTGGGAGCATACAATCACTACCAGGACCGGATTCAGGGTTGCATAGTTGCATTACAGCCAGAGTCGGTATTAAAGGAACTGTGCGTCCAATATAGGGAAACTGTGCAAAATGGCAAGCAGTTCCTTTTGGATAAAATTGAAAACTCTGAAAAACCACTTAAGAAAATTAAAGTCCTAAAAATGTAGACTATCTTCATCATAAGATCGTCGGTCCCAAGACTATTTGTGAACAGTAATCCAATCTAAGTCTACCTCTACTCCTCTTAACTCCTGTTTCTGCTTCTAATATATTTCTAACTAGCCCTTCATGTCTAAAAAGGTGTCCTACCAACCTATTTCGCCTATATATTATTGACTTCTATAGTGACTTATATTCTTCTACTCATTAATTATTATGTGACATAAAGGCCTTGAGAAAAAAGAATTTAAATTGACATCCCGTTTACCGTATTAAGTAGTATTTAAAATTCATCGTTACGAAATTAGAACGTAGCGCCGTATAAACATACTATCATGAGTAGATGTATTTTAATTTATAATTTGGTCTGTAACCGCAGGTAAGTGGCAGTAATTTTAATTTTCTTCAAACCAGGTGATCTTAAACATTAAGTAGCTACCTATATATGCACCTACTGTGTGGGATAATGCAATAATTGTGCATTTAAATTATCTGGCCAGTTTCAGTCATGATTATTAGTTACTTTAAACTAGTTTTTTTTAGTTTCAAGTAGTTTTTTGTTGAGCAAATATTCCAAGTACAAAACACTAGTTACGTGTATGGAATAATCATTTCCGTTCTAGTTGAAAACAAATAAGTTACAGCTAATGGATGTTTGCTCGAAGAATTCAAAATTCTAAACGAGAATCTGCAAGATTTGTTTCAAAAAAATTAAAATTAAAAATTAATAACGTTTAGGCTAGGCTGGAAGCCGAATTTTTCCACATTTATACCTACATATTTTGCAGTGTTTTCGTTAATTTTGTTTTAAGTATGTTATTTTTACATAAAAGTAACTAAACCCAAACAATAACTGTTTGTATATTTACTCACATGAAGTGCTACATTAAGTGGTAATTTTTGGTCTTTTTTATACGAAGAAAATCCACGTGGTACATTTTTCTGAAATCAGTTCCTAACACGCTTAGGCTCTCAAAATTGTCCAGGGTGCTCAAAAGTATTCAGGGTAGTCTAAAAGCCGAATTTTTCTACATTTGTATCTATCTATTTCACAGTGTTTTCGTTAATTTTGCTTGCAATAGCTATACTAAACTACACTCAAAAATTACGTATAAAAATTTTGAAATCCTTAACATGCGCTCAGTTTCTCAAAATTTTTCAAGTCAGGCTCAGTCCTGGCTACGGCCCTGATGTAATTATCTAATTTACGATTAAAATTTAATAAGTAGCTCCTTGAAATAAATTTTTTTTGGGAAAAATTACGAATGAAAATTATACGTATCTTCCTCTTACACTCGCATATGTCTGAGAACATTAACCCTATGTCAGCACATAAAGTATGTGTAATAAATAAACCAATTAACTGTAAAACAGATGTCAACATTTTTTTATTGAGTTTAAAAAACGGGTTTCGTCATTTTGTACGTATTTATGTACCGTTAGGAAATAATGTTCAAACTATTATTATCGACAATAATTTTAAACGTCTTCGAAAATTTTGAAACTGTGTCACCGTACGTCTGAGCTTTTCTGTCCATCGGTAGGTTACCTATCCGTGGGCCTAATTCGTATGTCGTAAGCCCAGACCGGTTAATTATTTATTCATAATAGTTCTAAACTGAAAAACAAATTTTACTAACAAGTAGAGAAAGAGCATGGCCCCAGCGCAAATTTCAGGTGTCTATATTTTTGTGTAACTTACCTGTAAAATATTACTTCAATATATACTTTAGTTTTCGGAAAAACTTAAAAAATATTTTTCATGAAAATTTTATTTTTCTTATTAACAATAATCAATGATCTTAATATACGAGGGTGGATTGATAAGTTTCCGGCCTGACCAAGAAAAACAAGGTTTTTAAAAATTTTTTTTTTTTATTTCTCAACATAATCTCCTCCA